TACCCCTCCTAGGCAATTTCAGTTCTGATTGCTGAACCACAAATTACATGTAAGCCATTGGAACAATGACAATATGATGAAGTGGTTAAAATATATAGAGACTATCACATGTTAAGAGCTTGATAATTATTTTTATTCATGAACTTCCATTGCAAAATTTTTTTGTCTTTATCACATTGATATTTAGTATACCCTAAATATAATTTTTTTTCATGTGTCTGTTGGTATAAAAAGGACCAAACACAGCAAAAATGGGAAGAAACTTCAAATAAAGTTTGTTTTAATAACAGTAAGCCCCTTGCTATACTCTTTAATTGGTCAATATAAAAGTAAATAAGTAGAACATCTGAATTATATTTTCATTTCTTTTACTTAACGATCTTTTGGTTATCCATATTAAGAGTTTTACGTTTTTGTATAGAGTATTTTTACCACAATGAAAGTAATAAAATAGAAATGCTTACTTTATTAGCAGCAAAACAGATTATAAACGCTGGACATAAGATATATGTCGTTCCTGAGCTTGATTACTCAACTATTGAATCATTTATTTTGCCAGGCCCTTTAAACAACGAAACCAAACTGGCGTTAGCTAAACTGATAATTCNTACCCCTTCCAGGCAATGTTGAGTTATGATTGCTGAGCCACAAATTAAGCCATTGGAACAATGCCCATATGAGGAAGTGGTGAAATAGATAGAGATTATCACATGTGTTAAGAGCTCGACAATTATTTTATTCATAAGCTTCCACTGCGAATGAGAGAGAGAGTTCCTGAGTGACCAAATACAGTATGGAAAACAAATTTAAATGATATCCTGGGGCACTCTTAGCAGACAATATATTTTTTTGCCTTTATCACATTTATATTGACCCTAAATATTAAAGTTTTTCTTATGAGTCTGTTTGTATAAAAATGACCAAAAACAGCAAAAACAGGAAGAAACCTAGAATAAAGTTTGTTTATGACAGTAAGCCCCCTGCTATAATACACTCTTTGGTCAATAAAAAAGTAATGTATTTATATATTATTATATATTTCATGAGGTAACAACATCACCAAAAGTGATTTTCATGAAGGACCTCGAAATATACTTAATTACAAATACTAAAAACAAATAAGATAAAAACAAATAACTATTATTGATACTGAATGAAATATCACTAAAAGTAAGTAACTAGAACATCTGCCAAATGGCATTTTTATCATATTTTGTTTGCATTTGAATCATAATATGCTAAATATAGTAACTCATTTGATGCACTTTTCCCACTTTTCCTTTTTTCTTCTAGTAGCAAGCATTTTGTAACAAAACAGGAAGTTATTAATAAGACATTGCTTCAGTTAATTTGCATATGAAACAGACATAACAGAAGGATTGTACAGAGGTTGTTTGACAGACTCCAGATTAAAACAATACTCTACCATAAACATGAAATATTTGCCATGCAACATCATCATTATAAATGTTAGTATCACATATCTTGATGTTCAAAATAATAAATTCATGTTTTTATAAAGTAGTTATACACATAAATTATTTTGACCTGTCTAAATAAAATAAAATAAATCTGCTTATATTTTTGTGTGGAAATTGTTCATTTATGAACTAATGTTGTATATACTTCTTTTTTTTTTCTTCTTTTATTTTTTACGTGGGCATATCACTTAATAGCCAGTGGATAACAAACCTAGCAAATCGATTTTTGTACCAAATTAAAAACATTACTCACATATACCTGTAATACAGAGTCTGAAAATTGAATCTGGGTTGCATTAGTGAGTGGCGAGCACTCTCATGATGCTCCACTACCCACCTTGCTTCCCAAAATGAAATATTTCTTATCTTTTTCTAAAAAAATTACAAAATATTAACCAAAGAAATTTGTATGGAGCTGTCTACCCAAAAATATCTACAGTCAATTCAAAAAACGTTGTCGTCGACCGGCTCAAGCCTACGCGACTGGACCGAAAGTAATATGAGTAAAAATCACTGAAGCGGTTAAATATTCGTTCTGAATTAATTGTTCCCGCTAGTTATAAGATAATAATGGCGAGAAACAATCCTTCAAATGCATGTCTTTGGGTTTAGTGAAAGAAAAGCAAAGTAGTTATGATTCAGTTCAAATTTCGAAAATATGAAGACATTAATGAACATCTCCTTCAACACTTCCCGCTCGCCTACGAAGGTTCGTGCTGTAAACCAGGCATAACTAGTCAGATAAAATTATGGAGTCAATTCGGCTTCAATGATTGCTACCCAGAGTTCCTTTCGGTCCAGTCGCGTAGGCTTGAGTTGGTCGACGACAACATTTTTTGAATTGACTGTATATTCTACTACTATACAAAAAATCCAGGAAAAAGTTTTTGAATCATGACTTCATAAACCCAAATTTAATGCTGATTTCAAATCTGGAAAGAACTAAAAGGGATGTCCTGAGGTCGTTTTCAAGATATACAGTAGTTATAGAAGTTTATGGACGAACTTCCAAGTATTTCCGACATTTCAATTTCGAAAATATTAGAAAGTTTCAAACTTCCATATTAATAGACTATCTGACTAAATGTACGTACATTCGGTCGATGATTATGCTACGTTTTTCAGAAAATGCTGCTCATTTGATTAAAAAGTGATGTCTAGTTTTTGGGGCACTTTCACTGCAAATGTACTCGGCACATGTACTGTAAATGCTACGTCCTATAAACCGCAGTAAGAACGAAAGAGCGTATTGACCGCGTCCATTCGCGTCCATTCCGCGTACAGTTTGCGTTCACCGCACGCGGTAAAGACGCGAAACAAACGCGTTCGCATGCTGCAATGATTTCAGGCGGTACTGTACTTGCGACAGAAAAATTCAAAACTTCACTGGTAATTGCTTATGTATGTATGTAGAAGCCACATAAACTTGGTGGCTCAGTCAGCTTATCAGTCACTAAGAAACATTGGTAAAATTAGAAAATATCTCTCGTCTAAACATTGTGAATGCTTAGCACTTGCTTCTATAACTTCCAAACTCAAATACTGTAATGTTGTTCTGTATGGACAATTCCATCATCTGAAACCCAAAAATTACAACGCACACAAAACACCTCTGATAGAATTATCTCAAAGGCAAAGAAATACGACTATATTTCTTCCATTCTGAGAAAGCTTCACTGGCTCCCAGTTTCACAAAGAACATTCTTCGAAATTCTGCTGAGCTACATACAATGCACTCAGGATGAAGCTTGCTCCTCCTTACTACTCTAAACTATGGAACACTATCTCACTCCCTCTGCACTTATCTCTGAAAGAAGCCAGGTCTATTGACATTTTCAAGACTGAACTTAACTGGATAAGGGATTATTTTATTCTTTATGCTACTTTATTCATTAATATTTTTTGAACAATATACTGTAAAAGCATTGAGACCTCCAGTTAAATAAATGCGTTCAAGAAAGGTTTGATTTAACAATTTATTATTTGCCGAAGGTGAAGTGATTATGGGAAGGAGAGAGAAAAAGTGACCGCTTCGCTTTTCTCTTCCGTCCTTCCCCTGATGCACCGGGAACTCACTAAATCCTTCCCATCAACCACAGTGTGAGATCAATAAGAAAAGAGAAGCGACTGGGTACGAGTCTGATGCTGGTATACTATCATCTTAATGATATATAGAGGATATTACGAGGTGGCGAAGATGGGAAGTTTATCTTTGAGTGGTGAAAAATATTTTACGAGTGAGCGCAGCGAACAAGTGAAATATTTTTCAATACTCGAAGATAAACTTCATATCTTCAAGCCATTGTGTGTAATTTTCTTTTTACTATATATATAGACAAATCCGCAAAGAAAAACTATTACAACGCGCCTCAAGTGATCGGGAAAACATCGCAAGTGACATCATCGATATCCTCACTAGTGAAGATATCGAAAATGTTGCTCAGGTACCAGGATGTGGTTTGTACGAAAAAAATGAGTGCCGTATTTCCCAGTGAAACACTCATGTCTATATAATAATGTTGAATATGCTGCATGTAATATATTAGCTCTTCTTTTTAAAGTTCACTGCAAGCACAAAAAGTCTGCAGAAAAAAAGTCAAAAAGTCTGCAAATTTCACTAAAATATATTTATCTATTTTCATTTTCTATATAAAGTCTCTTACAAAATTACAAATCACCTATGGATCTTAAGTGTACAGCACATTTATTTTCACGTCCTACAGCCTGTACCTGCATTTGTTCTTAAAACCTAGCCCACCAACAGAAAACAGAAAAAAACTGAATAACTAACATTAACCTATAGCAAGACATTACTAACAATATTTAGGAAACATTAATTAATTCATGCTCAAATCAATATAAGAATCAGTATCATGTCAAACTTGAGGTTTGATATATGTATGTAGGTGAAAACAATTTCGCTTATTAAATCTTTATTTCCAGTTTGCAGATGTATGATGTTTAAAGCATGCAATAATTCAATTTCCATACAATTTGGTTTTCACATATATTTGTAAGTTATAATATAAAAACCTTGGCTATTTAATGCACCTCAGAATGTGGTTTCAGCACATAACACAGAATTGGGCTTGATAATTATTTACAATACTACTCCACCTCATTCAGAAGGTTAAGTATGGTATGTTGGCGCCATTAGAAAATGTACTAATGCTATCTAAACCACAAGACACACACAAGAGTTGGGATCAGTATATGATAATATTCTCCTTCAAAAGTAAATCACTCTTAAATGTAAGTGTCATTAAAAATTGTAGTTATATTCTTGTTCTGAATTGTGCTACTTGTTTTGAAGTCAGAAACGGCACATTTTTTACCAACATTCAGAAAACATATAGCATTCATTATCATTTTTAGATAAAAGTATAGTATGCAGTGTAGTATTGACATTGTACATGTACATGTATATCCACAATGTGATGCACAACTAAATATCTACAGTTTTATAAGCTCAAATTATTAAACAATTATTAACCAAGAGCAGGAAGTAGTAAAACTTACCTTTAACTTGTAGTTCAATCGGATTTGGCCTGACACTTGGATCCAAGTTTGGAATTGTAACATCAATCCTGTACATGTATCTCACATCAGACTGAAGGGGATCAAACTTGGTGCCATCTTTGTTAGGGCCTTGAAAAAGTATGTTTTTGATTAAGAAAATGGCAAACCCTCTGGGTGAAACATAACTCGCATTTAGAGCATACAGTGTAGCATTATTAACCCTGGGAGTATCACTGGCATAATAATTTGCCATTTCCACCTTTGTTTGATCRTGTTGATCATCTCTGAATCTKTTGATGGTGAAACCAACAAACCGATCATTGACATCCAGCTCAAACTCCCATTGCAGTTTGACATCTGTACTGTTATGACCAATAATAATAACAAGTGGGTTCTGAGTTACTTCAATAAATTGAAAACAATCTGGAAAAAGAAAGAAGAAATGTTTAGTTCATTTGATATTTAATAAATTCTCAATGAACCTGACGTGCATGTATACTTGGTAAGCTTGTATGGGTGATATACAATCTTAAAGCTTAATATCTAATACAACTTAAAATTTATCCACGTCTTCCTCATCAGTCTCTCATTGTCCAGAAGAAGCGAGTGTTCGACACAATATTATTTAATTTTAAATACAGCAAAATTCCTTCAGAATGTTAAGACTAACTGCGGTTTTCGATATCCTGCGAACTCGGTAGTTACAAGCTGCACGCTGAAATTTGTTTTTTTTTCTCTGCCGTTAATCCAAAATAATCAGTCAGTAGTTTTTATGATTTGGACTGACGGCATAAGCAGCGAAAACCTCGCGAAAACAAATTTCACGACGCAAGCCGTTGTTGAAAGTTCCGAGTTCGCAGAATATCGAAAACCGCGCAGTAATTCTTATGTTACTACAATATACTTACTTAGATAAGACACCTCGAAAATCAAAGTCCAGTATAAGAAGAGAAACGTGCACAATGAGCTTGAAAAGCCCATCTTCTGTAAATAACCGAGAACAAGGAAGTAAAATATTTAGTTCTTCTCAAGACGCTCACAACGGAACGACGACGGAACATATTATTTTTCAGATCTTCTGCACTCAGAAACGAGGGCAACCCCGTTCTCAGGCCATCTCGTTTTAGACAAGCACAGGTAGCCCAGCTAGGTATGCAAAATACACATAATAATAATAATAATAATAATAATAATAATAATAATAATAATAATAATAATAATAATAATAATAACGTAAGACGTTTCCTCCAAGCCAAGAGCACCGCAGCACAGCTCCACTCCAAGTCCTCAGGCCGCAACCTGGAAGACTTGGGGTGAAGCTGGCATAGAAAATTTACTAATGATAAATAAATAAAATAAAAGGTGCCCATTGGCCAACTCGTGGCCCGTATTTCGATTTTATTGGACTAGCTGTTGGCGACTGAACTGTACTCATTTTTTTTAAAAACAGGACACTCTTGGAGCGTGCACTGTATTGCCTAATGTGCTGGTATGCTGGAGCTTATTAATCTTTGTTATGTACCGCTATTAGGGGGTAAGGAGTACTTTGGAACATTTTAGGATATAAAAAAACAAAGTAAGGCACTTTACGACTGGGTACCACAGGTAACCCAATAAAAATCGGTGTTGTGTTAAAATGGAAATAAAAAAATGATATCTTTATTTAAGTTTCTAGTCGTTCTAGCGCTTTCGCACTAATTAGGGACACTTTTCGCTCACACGCACGCACTACCACTTCATTCAAATACAACGATCGATGGCAAAGCTATCCCAAGTATGAACCAGGAGCCGCTGAAATGGACTAAACATTTATAAGTTACGGATTGGATTACGAACATTGGCCTACGTCCTGAATACGGATTATTTACGAAGAAAATTCTGGATGTGACGCAGGCTATTTTCAACCAAGTAGTCGGTCTTTCTGGTTGAATTAGGTGTACGCTATGTTCGCTGTTTCGGGTGTCGAGGTACACGCGTGCCAAATCCCATGCGAATTTGAGAAAACCTTTTGTTGGGTTCGTTAGCATTCGGCGCGTGTGGGCATCGAGCTTCACAGTTAAATTTATATATAGTTCATTTTAATCTTGATGTAATGTTTTATTWTACTATAGTCAATTTTTCTAATAAGTTCATGTTGATAGTTGTTATTACATATATTTTATATATTTAAATTTGTAAATATTAGTAGTTATATATTGAAGGCCACAAGTTTATTAGTGTAGTACACTATTTAGTGCCACCCTCATTAAATAAAGTTGTTATTATTATTATTATTATTATTATTATTATCAACGTCTGAACTAGGCCTTGTAGTTATTGTTTTCATAATTGTAAATATATTTTCTAGTTAAAATCATTTTAAAACACGATCTACGAGTTTTTTGAACTGCTTAAAACACTCATGAACAATTTATAAGATTTTGGTTCAACTGGAGCCACCATACACGTCATTGCGTGCCTAGGCAAAGACAGGCACGTTAGTCAAAGATCATTAGGGCTTACTATGACCTTGATGAATATAAAGACCACTCGAATACTATGAGGATGACTTCATCAGGGATGAAGTACACATCCAAGTTTAGATGACGACATAGAGCTTCATCAAGGTCTTAGTCAACGTTAACCCTAATTATCTTTGAATAACGTGCCTGTCTTTGCCTTGGCATGCAATATCCAGCGTATGGGAGCTTCTATTGAATCTGGTTGCGCATGCCCGTGACGTCAAATCTCTATCGAAGTATAAAAATCCATGTTCGTGACGTGTATGGTGGCTCCAGTTGAACCAAAATCTTATAAATTGTTCATGAGTGTTTTAAGCAGCTCAAAAAACTACATATGCACTCGATTGCAGAAACGTTGTAGTATACATTTATACAAATATCTAATTTATTCAGTATATTTAATGATATGCAAAAAAGAAAAATCGCTTTATTTACTGTTTGTTTCATTCAACAACTGTCAAAATGTTTTTTTCTTGTCCATTAGATCGTACAGATTATAAATCAGAGGGTTTTAAGCGTTGGAAATGGCTATTTTGTATTATGCATCTCACTAGATATACTGAATAAATTACATATTTCTATGAATGTATACTACAACGTTTCTGCAATCGAGTGTATATATGTATATATATATATATATATACACTCGATTGCAGATACGTTGTAGT